ATTCAGTGAGGTGCTTGTGAGGTGGGACTAGCCGTGGAACTATTTTTTTAAAAATCATTCACCCATCATTTGACGATGCTTCAAACGCACCAATTGTTCATCTCTGCTTTCTCTCCATCGTAAACACATTCGTTCACGTGCTTATCAGGTGGTGTCATCTGTTTTTAAAGATGTGAAAACCGCTGACACGCGTTGCTCTCACTGGCTTCATAATGCCTTTGTACACGCCCATTGTCCATTCACGACAACGCCAATGAATCAGAATAAATAATGATGAGTCAACTACTCTAAAGTTAGAGAGGTGATTAACTGTGAATTTTATCTCTAAGAGGTCCGGGTATTTAATTCATTACGTGACCGCATGTCTTTAATAAGATTCCGCATGGACTACTTATGTTCATCATGTATTACTTGAAGTTTTTGACGACATCCGACGACAATTTGACGAAATTTTATTTCGTCGTTTATTTGTGTTATTTCGAGACTTTTTTTTCAGGGTTATTTGATTCAAGCAACTAAAGGTCATCAACATCGTCATGGAATTCTTATTCGGTCGTCGAAAAACACCAGCTGAATTGCTTCGCCAGAATCAGCGAGCACTGAATAAAGCAATGCGTGAACTGGACAGGGAACGATCCAGAATGGAGATGCAAGAGAAGAAGATTATTGCCGATATTAAAAAGATGGCAAAAATGGGTCAAATGGTTGGTCGTTTTGCTTGCTTTCATTGCTTTTTTAGTGGATTTGCAATGGAANGTAATGAGTAACGGTGAAACTGAATAAAAGTATCAGTAGCAATGATGAGAGGAATTGTAGGAATCAGTCAAGGTGATGGCCAAAGATCTGGTGAGAACGCGTCATTATGTGAAGAAGTTCATCATGATGAAAGCGAATATTCAAGCTGTATCGCTCAAGGTTGTTTCAGTCTTCTTCACCTGATCAAAATTTACGCTTTCAGTTTGTTCATCTCTTCGAAAAAGTCTTTCTTTCATTTCGTTTTTCAAATACGAAAATTTTGATTGTTTTGTTTGCAAATTACTCACTTTCGACTGCTGCTTCAGGTTCAAACACTGAAAAGTCAAGACGCCATGGCACAAGCGATGAAAGGCGTAACGACTGCGATGAAGAGCATGAATAAACAATTGAATTTGCCACAAATTCAGAAAATTATGATGGAATTCGAGAAACAATCAGAAATAATGGACATGAAAGTTAGTTTTAATCCGATGACTGATAGTGAATGTTTCATCGTTTATTTAGTGATTTGTTCCATACATTTTCCAGAAGCCCATTTTTAAAATTTTTGTAAAAATGATGATTCAGTCTATTTGTTCTTCAGGAAGAAATGATGGGTGAAGCAATTGATGACGCGATGACTGAGGAGACAGACGAAGAAGAAAGTGAAGCTATCGTAAATCAGGTGGATAGTTTTGCTTTATCATTATTATGTGGTCTTATCCGTGGATATTTTCACCGTTAGTATTAAAGTGCTTGGGATTTGTTTTGATGTATCAAGCATCAAATGATTCTGATCCTTGAAGTGTCATTCGTTGGAAAGTTCGGGATTTTTCAAAATTTTTATTCGATATTCACAAGGATTCCAAGTGAACGCNGAAGTGTCATTCGTTGGAAAGTTCGGGATTTTTCAAAATTTTAATCCGATATTCACAAGGATTCCAAGTGAACGCACAAGTATGTTTTCTATAAAGCGATACAGTTTCGACGTGTGATTAATTATCGTTCATATTCCAATGATTTGTCTCTCCATTGAAGGTTCTTGATGAACTCGGCATACAAATGAACGAAGAATTAGGTGCCTTACCGACAGCGCAAGGAACCTTAGCGCCGAAGGCATCAGAGGCTAAACAGCAACCAACGGCTTTGTCAGATGCAGACGCCGATTTACAAGCCAGACTCGAGAACTTACGTCGAGAATGAGTGATGAGAATCGAACTGGAATTTAAAAAAAACAAACAGTGTTTATAGGATCAACGAAAGTGAAGATTTTCATTTTGAGAATTAAATTTCATTCCGATTAAAAATGACAGCTTTGAGATGCTGTGCTTTCTTCACCTTTTGCAGACTGCCCATTCATTCTTCATTCGGATGACTCCTCCAATAGATGCTTATAAACGGAATGCTGAGATTTTTGGAAAGTTTAAACTCTTCAGATTTGAAGTTGTTTAAAAATAGTGTTTTCCTAATGTTTCATTAGAAATAATTTTGTTCCGAATCCGAATCGAATTATTCCAGATTTCGTAAGCACAGTTTTTAAATTGCTTCTAATATTTTATACTGATCTTTTTCAATATAATTCAATATACTGATTTTTTTTTGTTTCATACAATGTAATTTTTGATTGCTTCTCCCAGTTCAGTGTTATCTTCCAAAACACTTGTGAGCATTTTATAATCCGTTGTAATAAAGAGGCGTATGTCAGTTTGTCGTACCATTGTATCTGAATTGTACAGAATTGAAATTGTATTTGTCAAGAAGTTTTGTCTTTTGTGGATAAGAAGTCACGATGCAAATCTTGATCATTTTGAGCAGCGATGATTGTTGGGATTGCGTAA